TTTCGAAAAACGTGAATTAGTAATAAGAGTCCATAATTTCACTTCTTAATAAATATTCAAATTAATTGGTGACCTATAACATACAAGAACAATATTTTATAACAGTAATAAAGTTCGTATACAGATAATTTATGAAACGTTGCTTTAATGGAAATTAAAACTTTTTAACAACTTCAACACTCAAATTTATTCATTACAAATTATAATGAATATTTAAAAGGTAATATATACATATATATAAAGGTGTGAGTGTGGATATAAAATTTTACCTACATCGTAGCGTTATTTTGACTTTTTTATTTAAGTGTCGTAGATATGTTAATGAGTGAGCGTCGAATCATTCATAAGATATTTTTAAAGACGTCAATATTTTTCTATAATTTATTCGAGTTTGCGATAGAATCACAATAAATTTGATTTTCACACGCTTTCTAGATTGATTACTATAGGATCATCACACAACTCATAAATTTACCTCGTACTTTACACCAATGATTGTTTATTGCTAATAAATATTCATTTGGATAAATTTAAATACGTAAATAGACATATAATAATCATATTAAATCATGCTAATGTGTTTCATGAACAAGAATTTATTATGCGATAAAAAAAAATTACGACATATTAATCATAGCAGATAGTAAAAATGTGACAAGATTCGTTGACAGAAAATGGACACAAATCGAGAATCTAGAATTGTGCAAAACACATTAATTGATTTTAATAGAGATATTAGAATTCGTCAAACATTTGATGAAATTATTCAAATGTACACCCACGTGTGTGGGCACGTATTCAAAATTTCTATTCTTATACGCACCTTATCGTTTTGTTAATAAATAAATCCATCAAAAGAAAATTTATACTAGAAATATGTAAAATAAAAAAAGTAATCAATAGATTATTGTTAGATGACTGAAGTAAATTGAAATAAAAAGCACTTTCTTTTCTACTATTACGTTACTAGATAGATTTAAAGCGTATATAAGTATAAGTTTGTTTTTCAAAATGCGAAAAATTTTTAATAGAATAATAATTTCTACTAGAAATATAACTGCTAACTAGTTAAAAGAAGCATTTTACCTTGAGGCAAGTTGCATGAATTAGAAATATAATTACTAACTAGTTAAAAGTAGGATTTTGCCTTAAGATAAGTTTCATGAACTTTGCGTTAAGTCAACTTAATCAACTCAATGTATAAGAAATGAAATTTAGCTATTTAGTAAAATAGTCAACTGTTAATTTCGATTTATTTTTTCTTTGAATAATAAATAATCCATAAGATTTTCAATTGAAGTCTTTAATAAATACTTAACTAATACTAACTAATAATATCTGTAACTGTATAAATTAAATTAATTTGTACAACACATTTAATTTTATCTATTTTGTGTCCAGTAAAAATGTATTTAATTCGAGTGACGTCAACTGTAATCAGTAGCTATTTGCGAAACACCACAGAACGCACATGTGCTTTGACATATATATTCTGATTAGAATCGGCAAAATTCTAAATTTTGATGATTTTTTTATAATGCGACCGCTAAAAATACAACGTTACGAAAAAACGGTCCAACCGATCTTTACCAAAAACTAATCAATGTGATTTGCAATGAATATTTTTCGAACAGTTTATGAATTTGAATCGACTAAAAATTGTGGTCCAAAACGTATACTAAAAATTTTACACCTTTTTGCCAATTACAAAGAAACGGCTTGGCCGGTCGTCGCATAAAACTGTTAAACGTTAGTCTTTATTGAGTTGCTTTTAATTTTTTGAAATTAGTCAAGCCGTTCACATATACACACATACCTTTTCCAAATTTAGTCTCATTCGATTCAAAGTGACATGAAACGTCGAGTAAACATAAAATTACCAAATCATTTTTAATGACAAAATCTTCTATTTCTCTGTTTTAAAAACAATCTAATTATTTTAAAAAAACCCTGCCGGTATTAATATCCGACAAATCCATTATCGTAAATAATTGCAGACGAATAAAAAAATTATTCAGTGGAGTAAAGAGCTAAAATTTCAAGATATCATTTATGTTAATTATAATTAAATTTTCTACAGTCTGATAATATATCAAAGTATCAAACAATCTTGTTCTTACTGTTCAGGAAATTTTACTCAGAGAAATTTGATGTAGAGAAAGTTGTAATCAATCAATTTTAGTGATAATCAAATAAATTAAAATTGATCAAATAGATATCACTCACTTTATAAATTTAGTAATGCACAGAATAAATTATTAGTCAATATATTATTTTATACAAATTTTATATTTTCTAGACCAAAATTTGCTTGCAATTTATACCTGCATAAAAATTCAGGAAAGGCGTTTACTAATAGTTTACAATGCCAACAACATGTATTAAATTTTATTTTAAATATTTATTTGAATTATCTTTAGTCAGAACGATAATAAAGTTTTTATCAATTTAATATTTAGTAAAACTATCAACGGCATTGTTATGAAATTTACAACACCATTTTTTTTTATTATTGCAAACTAATTGTTAAAGTTATAGTAATCGTCCAAAAACTGAAAATGAATTTTTTGCATATCTTTACGCTTCAAGGTTTCTGAACATTACCTTAGAAAAAAAAATTATGTGTGTGTGTATATATGTGTGGATACAATTTTTTGTCTAAGTTTCATACAAGTTTTTGAGAGCACGGATCAACCGATTTGAATGATTCAAAAAGCAATCGATTCTTATTGACAGGGGACGTGCTGATTAGTTTTTGGCAAAGACTGTGAAGTTTCATTGCGATACGGGAAGTTCCAGCAATTTGCTTCACGGCACAATGCCATGCACCACTAGTTATCTTTTTCTTTGCATTATTCAAGCAAAGACAACCGTTTTAAGAAATTGAAAAAAAAACAAATTTTAGATTCTTTTATGTAAGTTTTTGAAAAATAAAAGTAATCGATAATTATCAAATTACCACTAGTTATAATTAGTGAAAAACAAGAAAAAAAATTTATGGGTAATGATCAATGAACAAGATCATTTTCTTGAATGTCTTAAAATAAACAAGGTGTTGCAAAATGTGTATACATTGTGTATTAACTTTAATATGATGATAATGTTTATCGTTATAATTGCATATTGCATTATACCCATAAAACTTATAACCTCCGCCAAAAATTCTTGACGAGAAATTTTGCATGATTTCACCAAAAAAATTAAGTATAAAACAAACACATCGTTTCTTTTTTCGATAAAGATCTGCAAATCACATAATATAATTACAATACATGTCGCAGTGGCGTCCAAGAATTCTTTCCGATAAAAAGTTCATTTAATCTGAACGAAACCTGACCGGCGACCCAATACAGGTGTGCTGGGCACGTGATTTCTCTCGAATTAAAAATTCTTTATTTTAACACATATAATGGAAGATATTTGTCGAGTATTTAACGTCCGATCGTAAATTATCGATGAATTGGTCGAAGCTCATGACTCAGGTCTCTCTGGAACGAATTAATATTTAAAATACGGAAAAAAAAATCCGCGTGAGATATTGTAATTTGATGACACTCCGATGGACGAGAAATAAAAACCGCTAGGTATGTGTCGTTATAATGTGTTGGCCGTGGGCTATTATGTTAAAATATTGTTAATTTGTTGTTTAAATATCACATTTATGGCTTTGATTACATTGTCAGAGAAGTGCTCGGAACGTACGAGATGGAATATCTTATTGCGGATTAAAAATCATGTTACTTTATTTATGGAAATATTGTGGGATAAATTATTCAGTATTATGATTTGTTCAAATATTTCAGTAATTTCTTCTTGGTCAAATGCTTCGTAATGAGGATTAAGATTAAGTTAAAAATATGGAAAACAACAACAAAATTTTGTTTCTTTAACGCATTAGCGGACAGTAAAAGTTTCAGCAAGGTACAAAAACTGACAGTGATATTATTTGTAAATAGAAATGTATTTGATCATCGTTTAATGGAGTAGTCAGATTATCATTTGGTAATCGTTATATACTATGAATGCTATAGCATCCACGTAAAAATTAATTCAAGTTACTCAATTACTCTTCTATTTTACGCAATTTGCTTGCCTATGATAATTAGGGACTACGAGAAAAATGAGATAACTCGAAAATATTTAAAGAATCAGTTAGTTTTTACCTTGAGAGGTATAATAATTACAAAAACCTTAGATTATGGAAAATTTAGTTCAAAATAAATGACTTAAACATTTCAATGCTATATCATTCATGTTATTCTGCATCACAATGAAAATCAATGCTATAGCATTCACGTCTGCGAACGTATTAATTTAGAACCATTTTATTTTTGATTATTTGTTCACTATTGCAATAACTTCAAAATTTTACAATTTTTAAAGTGAATTTTTACAATTTAGAAATTATTTTCTATTTATACCTCCTTAAAAAAAATCTAATAAATGTTCTTAGTCCATTAACATTTTCATGTTCTATAGAATAATATGTTTGAAAATTCTATTATCGTAATATTATGTGCTCTGCCTTAGACAATAATTCAATATCTACAAGAAATTTAATATTTCTTGCATAATTAACTACGAACAAATTTTCTATCAAAATATAAAAATGCTTAATTTCTCCTGTGCATGTTCAATACGAGCTAGAAATTAAATTTTTGAATTCATTTTGTTTTAAATTAACAACACGGTCCATCATATAGTTCTACACAACAAAAATAATTTTACCAATCGATTATTTGAATTAAATTAAGTTTTCCTAATACATCCAATGAGACACTAAAAAATAGTAATAAATTCTAATTACACTGTAAATTATTTTGCTAAAAAGTATGCCTCTAACCTTAATACATTTTTTATTCGTTGATATCACTTTTTATAAAGAACTGTTTGATGTATTGTATTTCCGATAAAAACAGTTAAATAAACTTAGACCAATTTTTATATTATTATAATAATTGATAATATAAAAAAAGAAAAAATCATTTTCAATCACTTACCATATAGTATGTTTGATGAGAATTTGTCTTCTTTTACCTTTTCACCGGTATCATTCTGTAACAAATTACAATTATTTAATAACTAATGATAAAATTACAATTAAATATATAAAACTAGTTAATTGATAATGTATTTGTTTATCGTAATTGACTAATTATTGAATCAAATACCAATAATAAGAGAAAAATACTTGATAAGCAGATTCTTTTTAATTCGACAATTGAATTATTTTAATGTCCTAAAAATAATTCATTGAAACTTCTAACTATTGCATACTTAAATATCTGCTATTAAAAACAATATTCAATAACTTATTAGAATAATAGCAAATAAAAATGCTGAAATTAGTAATATATCGTTGCAATTTGCTCAACGAGTAATATAAATATACAATTATATACCGAATTTATAATTCTTTATTGTGCAAGATTGAATGAAAATTTTGAAGCGCGACTAGGGTGTAAATCCGTACAAATGCATCGGAAGTGCGTTACGGCAGATGATCCGAGTGCCAATGATTCGTCATTCGCTCTCGAAGATATCATTTCTATATGGGCCGATTGTGATTAGTCGTGTATGTGAATAGAGATCTGTCGTTGTATGCATATCTTAAAAATGTGATCTTTCCTACGAACGATTAGTTTTTTGATATTAACATAATATGTACATAATCATGACAAAAGTTCTAAAAAATGAGAAAAATCACATTTATATATTAAATATTTTTACGCACATATACTGATTTTTGTCATAATTTGGTACACCTATACAATAAAACAAAATTCTACTTATAATAATTTTGCCAATAATTTATTAGATAGCTAAAGCAGCGGTGAGAAACACTTAATCATCAACCCAAAATGTTTTTCTCTAAATTGATATTACCCCTGTAATTTTGTTACGTAGTTATAGAATTTATTAAAACTCTTCTTTGATAATTCAGGTTGTTGGGTTATAATTTAACCCTTGTAGCTGTGGACTGTATTAAACTTTGATTTGTTTGTATATCATGTATTTGTTGCAGTTCTAATCACAATCACTAATTTGTTACTAAGTTATAATGAATGAAGATATATTTATTTTTATTGGTTATTTACATGTTGTCAAGCGGACTTTACTTTTAGAAGTGAACAACTAGTTCAATTAAAACACTCCGCTACCCCCTCTACCAGGGGTAGCAACCATTCCATGTAAAACTTAATGCCCTGAAGTTTGTCACCTTCATGGCCAATATAATAAAACGAAAAGACGTCAGAACAACCCCTATGACGAAGAGAGATTGCCCTCTACGGTCAACTACGTAGCAAATACAGTAAATATCAATTAAAAATAAATACTTTTACCCCAATTTTAAATTTTTACCCTGTTTGGGGTATTTTACCCCGGTTCCACGACCACTGCGCTAAAGTGTTAAAGCAAGTTGATTCGTGCAAGTTGATCTTTAATAATTTAAAAATAAATTACATTTGTAGTAACTAGTAAATTAACTATATATTATTAATTAACTAGTACCTCATAGATGTTGAATTGTTTATCGAACACGTGTTATATTATACTATGTTGTTAGTTATTAAAAATGTTTATAACGTCAAATAAGTTCAATGATGCAATTCAATGCAATGCAAATCTTTCAAATCTCATTCTCATTACAAGGTGCACTAAAAAGGTTGTCCTACCCCTAAAAAACGTCACATCATTCCTCGCAAGGTGTACCGCCTCATGTTAGACTGTAGTGTGTCTTGTGATGTGGGGTAGTTTCGGGTTTGTCTATCCCCCGAACCCGAGTGATTCAGAGGGCATTCAACTTCACTTGACCCTCAATGTGAACACTAGGTCAATCGATATATCGAATTCTCTTATTTCGCTTGACCACTGCGTTCGAAAGTAACTCTTGCTAGTATCGAGTATCGACAGCTGGGAGGCGGATAAGAGCGATGTCGACGAACATAAGCATCGATAACAATACGATACGAATTGTAGTTTCGAATTTAATACAATTTTTATTTGTACTATAATTACAATTTGATATTCATTTCGTATCATATTTGTTCACACTAACTATATTGTATTGATTGAAAACGAAACTACTGGTGCATTGCATTGTGCCTTAAGGCGAATTGCTGAAACTCCTTGTACCATAATAAAATATTCAAAGACTAAAATTTAGTAAAAAAAATATTTTTTGGAAATAAAAAAAATTCTAATAGCAATTTTTCTCCAATAGCAATCGTTTTGTCAGCATAAGCAGAAAGTTTTCTGAATCGCCATTACGAATTGAATATTTTTTGAATCATTCAAATCAGATGCTCCGTCCTTTCAAAATCACCCTTTCTATTTTGTGCAATTTTTGCTCCGTATCTCCGAAACGGCTGAACCTGCTCATCTCCCTATCAATAGAAATTGAATATATTTTCGAACCATGCAAATCGGTTGATCCGTGCGCCCGAAAACGTGGATAAAAAATTGCATCCATACATGCACACACGCAAGCACTCATTTTTTCTAAGGTATGCCCAAATGTTCAGAAACCTTCAAAACATGAAGATATGCAAAAAGTTTCAATTTCGATTTTGACGATCACTATAACTTACCTTACGGAATGTTAAAAATGGAGTAGGGCGGAACACAAAAGTCCAATTTGACTTTAATGACAAAATTTGTAACGTGGTCCTTTTTACCCCATGGCCGGAGTAAATTGGATTGTTTTTATTTTATTACAATTTACACAATAATAGCTACATTATTCAACCAAAATATAAATTGCATGGGTCCATGTTTTACAGAGATTTTACTGTGAATAACCTTGATCTCGTTTTTCGTCAGAAATATTCATCACCAGAGTTGAAATAACTATTTATTTAATTTATCACTTGTAAAATATATTTTTGTATCGTAATTTATTTTTTTATTTACTAGTTTTTATTGTTATTGCCAGACTAAAATTACAGTTTGTACTTTTTACCCCACCCAAGGTTTTATAGTGGTTAAATGAAAAACTACTGTTGAATTTAACTTAAAATTACTAATACATGTTTTAAAACAATAAAATTTCTCATAAACTTAAAAATTATTTTGAGGTCTCGTAAACTAAGGTGATGGTTGGTTAAACATCTTTTTTCCGCTACTTGCAAATATTGTGGTGCATCCCGCGTACCTTTAGAATAATGGTTGAACTATCTCTAATTAATAAATTGTATAATTAAATTTTCTCTAATAATGAGAGTATATTTTCAATTCAATGCAGCAGAAAGGGTACTTGAAAACATATTTCCATTTATATTTTTATGTAAAAACCGATATCTCCTCTTATTTCATCAAAAGAAAGCTCTGAACAATGAGCTACGCAAAAGCCCTTTTTTAAGAATAATATCAATTTATATGAAACTATTACTCGTCTTTATAAATATTTCGTATTTTTTCTTGATTTATTCTAAAGCAAACAATAAATATTACCAACACTTGTTTCTTGCTTATGAAAATAGTAATTTTAAATTTAATCATTTTAAAAATATATGCATTGAAACATGCCTACCGAAATTTATCACTAATATTTTAATCTACTAATAAGATACTAAATTTTGGTAATTTTATTGTAAATCATTGTCGTTTTATTATAATCATACATCAATAATAAACGTGAAAGTACCTTCTCAAATTATTTAAATTATTTTTTTATGAAAATGTAAAAGAAAATAATTATACATTTGAAAACTTGAACAATTTTGTAGTGAATCTTCTCAATAAGGATTTAAATATCCATTTGTCCATGGGCGACAAACACATATCTTGGACAGCGACAGGAATCGCGTGTTGCTTATGTAGTATATAGTCTAGACTGGTAAACAACGGTTTTCAAACTCTGGTAGTTTCATTTTTTTTTATTAAAACTAAAATTGTATTTGTCATGCATTTAAACGCAAGTATACCCAAGACCATATTAGAACTAGAATGCATTGTGCATGTGCTTAGCAATAAAACACACCAAGGAAATATCTGTTCAATTCTTGGCCAAATTATTATATATAGTTTTTTATTTTTATTAAAATATTATATATAGTATTTAAATCTGAAAGTGATACATATTAGTAAATATATCGATGCAAAACGGTTTGATACTTCGTTTATGATCAGAATCATGTCTATTTGTTCTAAAAGTGCAGTCTAAATAGCACCACTTACCAGTCTTATGTGAAAATGTAAACAACGATACCAATTGTGGTTAATAGCTATAAAAGTATATCAAAATTTATTTTAAATACTTAATTATTATTTTCTTTAATTATGACAATGATTCAAAACAATGTAAATTTTGCTAATTAAGAGAATAAATATAAAAGACTAAAATTTTGTACAATTGATGAATATTTGCAAAACTTCATAATAAATAAATTAGGATTATATTTAACACATTTTCTACAGCAATCATTCTTTTTTTGTTTTTTATTTTATTTATTTTTTCATTTTTTTTAAATTTTATTTTAGTTAATCTGATTATATCTACAAGAAGAGATAGAATTCATGAAATTACATATTTATAGAGAGTTTTTACAAGTTTATAAAATCAATTATTTTATGTTAGTGAGAAAATTATGGCAAAAAACAAACTAATCTTCAAAAGCACATATAATATAATCATAATACAACAAAATTTTAGCAATTTGCTCGAAACCAATATTTATATTCTGGGGAAAAAATGGTTCTATTCGGTTCGTCATAATAAGCTTAAATCAAGTCATCGAGCTTTTGATTCCAATGTGGTCAGAAATTAAAATATATTCTTTCTCTGAGGATAGCATTGAAATAAGAGATTCTTGCATTGTTTACTAAAATCAATTTTATGGTATTTATATAATATTTTACACTTTGAAAATGTTTTATTTATAATTGTCTACTCATTGGAGATTTGCTAAGAGAACATTACACTATATTGTATATTATCTATATCAAGAATGAAGTATAAAATATATTTTTTAAATTACTATATTTTGAAGACAAAAAAACCGATCGTTAATACTTCAAATGCTTAAGAATTTATTATTATTTATTTAATAAAA